TTCCACCAGCAGCGCCGTCCAATAACTGGCAGCGGTCGTTCGCTTCCAGACGATTACTGTCTGCTCAGTTGTTGCGCAGTTTTCGCAGGGCAGTGCCACCAGTGGCCAGGGCTACGAACGCCCGGCCAAGAGTCAGGCACTAGGATTGTCTATGACGCCACGGTGGCTATCGGTCGGCCGGTTCGTTGGTTGATTTCGTTCGCGCGGATAAGACCAGGCGAGTGAGTAAGCAACGCTCCACGACATTGTGGATCATCGACATCTAGCCACACTCATCGTGGAGTCATGGCGACAGCTGCAGCAGGAATAATGATAGTTGTGGGGGTTGTTACAATATCTTCCATGTAGGCAAACAGGCAATCTGAAACGGTAGGCAAGCACAAAGCAAAGAATTGGGGAGTCATCATTGATGTAGCTCGAGCGACACCCCACCAAAGCCGTTCATTCGGGTCGGAGCCGTGGCTGCCGCTCTGCTGACTGGGGCCATTAACCCTCTGTAGCGCCTTGCCACCGCTGCTGTTGCTGTAGGGTGGGCAGCAGCTCACAGCACCAAGCTATAATGTAAACTATAGTTCTTGTGCTGCTACTGTTAACGTTACTGTGGTTGACGTTGCCCTTCGTGGACATGGATCTGCGAGGAACGGTGTCACTCGCAGTGAGCGGTGACCAAATAACGCGAATGGTTAAACCCGCGCATGAGGTGACGTGCGTTCCCCGCTTAATGATTATCTCTGGCTGGAGAAATTCGTTACCATTCCAATAGCTTAAGCAAACAGTTCATAATTTTACCAACTCATATATTCCTATGCATGTGCGCATGTAAAGATTGAGATGACACGTGCGTATTATGTAGCATAGACTTAGTTGTGTGTAGAAATTGCATCAATGAAACCCCAGACATTGAAAGACTAGCTGATGAGTATGATAATGAATATGGATCAATTCCTGTATTATGGTAGGTCACCGAAGTGATTGGAGTGAAGGAGAAAAAGAATTACTGCCTTGTGCAATGGCCGGTTTACGCTGTGTCTGAATCCTGATACGAAGTCTTTAGTCTACACAGTAAAAAGGCTCATCATTCGGGAAAGCTAAACTGCATTGCCCGTAACACTTTTAACACAACCATCCTAACATCGACGTGCCAGCATTTGCGACAAATGATGGATACAAGTCTTTTTAGCTAAAATAGTTCTATCAATACATATGTATACATATCATATATTAATATATATAAATATATATCGAGTTACTTCTTACTCCCTTCGCGTGTCTTGTTTTATATATAAAATTCCTATAATGTAACAGTTTTGACCGAGTTTATTTCTGCTTTTTGATAATTGTCGAAAATGGTGCTTTATACGCTGAATATAATTTAATTTCGAAAGATATTCCCCACGTATATTAGGGTATGTTGTTGCAAAGTATGATTTGTATTAATGAATTTTGTAATCATTGCTCTGAAATGAAAAGTCACAGAAGAGCCGAAATTCAGACATATTCGTTTGTAGATGTTACAACGATTGGTTCTTTTGTATGAAGTTACTTAAATCCTGTTGATGCCCCTTTTGGACTGTAACGTTTCACGTGTGGAGCGCGCATTCACAACTGAAAACGATTACCTCGAAGAGAACTCGAGTAGCACCAGCTCATTACTGACACGTTGAGCATGTGACCGCCCAGCGACGAGTTCTACACCAAACTAGAAAGTGCAGATTCTAAATATGTAATTATAAAAAAGTAGAAGTTGAAGGGAGAGTAGAGTTGAAAAAGGGAAGTAGTTGTATACCACACACGAGCAGCAAGGGTTTTATGTCGGCATCTGATTACTATTTTCGAGTCAGCAAAACGTTTCCGACACCGGGAATCGAACCCGGGCCTCGCGGGTGAGAGCCGCGTATCCTAGCCACTAGACCATGCCGGACCATGACGTGTAGCAGCTGAATTCGGCAGAAGCAGCTAATTTAACTTAGGCGCATAAATAAAAATAAGAAAAACAACGAATAAAATCGAAACAAAGCCAGGGGGACGCAAATGGAGGTTGCATGGCTAAAAGCTAGGGGCCGTGCATCTCAGGGCTCAGATCGTGCTTTGAAGAGAGGCCTCAAGGCGAAAATTAGTGAAGTAGTTTGGGGTATAAAATGGGCTAACAAAAAAATATGTGATTAAAGGATGAGGATTGTCTTATAACCAATGGTTACAAGTTTTTTTGAAAGTTCATTCAAGATTATCTTAGTTGAATACGTGATTTTATTTCTACAATTGTAGAGTATTTGTGTATCATATATTACCTAACATCTGTCTTAGATGTCAATCTAAAAAGGAACTAGTAACGATGCTAGCGATTGTTGGCGTTTAGGTGTATAATCACGGTTGCTGTGGTGATCATGCGGTCCACTTTTGTGGAAAAGGTTTCACGACTATGCTGCATATGATTCATTTGGACCATCAATTTAAAAGTAATTAGGCCATTATGTTACGTTGCTGTGAACAATGTAATTGTTTTGTTTAGGAGGTATAACGGGGATGGCGGCGCTCTCTATGTGTGTGTGGAAGGCATATGTGGGCTACATTGTTTTGCTGTAATTAAAGGATGCTCATTTTACAAAAGAATACCATCAAATAGTCAATGCTGTTAAAATGCAAAAGAGTGCGTAATTTAGTCAATTTGAATCAGACTGGGCTATTGGCACCAATCAAGAATTTTTCATTATACAGAATGCAAGTCGAGCCATAAAAAGCAATAGCTCATGTTTTAACCGTAGTTCGGAGTACACCACGCTTAGTTTTCTGAGATTAACTGGAAGCAAAGTGTGTTTTGTAGAAATCACTGTATATAGTAATATTACATGACTACTTTGAGGACTGTATGAGCCATTGTACATGGTACCGTACGTCTAAATAACGACGACTAATTCAATTACGAAGAAAATATAAAAGAAAACGATTTTTACTTTTACAGAGCCCATATTTCACATATATGCATATGTTTCAGGCCTGTCGAAAAAATAGCATCACTTTATTACATTTATTTTATTTAAACGAGCAGCGCATCGAACTTTCAAGCACCTTCATGCAAGCTAAAATAACATGCCGTATTCTAAATATTACTATGCCAAGATGTTCGTAATAAATTGTGACGACAGTATCATAGTTCGATATCAAAACTCAATTATATTGTGCACACGTACGTCACATTTCGGACAATCCCGATTATCACCCCGATCAATCACCCCGATAATCCCGATCATGAATGATCTTTGATACGAGAATTATGAGTTTCCACAGTAATTTCGTAAGCTTTAGTGGTGGTCAACTTTTCCTTAAAAACAGTTCGCATATCACTGCAGTTCATTCTCACTTTTCAAACAAGATAAAACCCCGATATGTTCCAGTATTTAGGCCATTGAAAATGCGGCTCCTCAACACCCAATAATATTTCAGTTGCATTTACAGCAACGATTAATATTCTTAGTTTAGCCAGTACGGTATTAAGTAATAATGGCGCATCACTTTTTCTAACCAGCACCACAGCTTTTTTTCAGCTCGAAAACGTTTTTACTTCAATTTTGTGAAACCACTCACTTCTTAGTATAAGACCCGCGGCCTCACAAAATAGAACTACACGGGTCACAGGCTGACGAATCTTTTATTAACATTTCATTAGAAGTTATGTTAGAGTAAATTCGTTAAAGTCAATTTTTTTGCATCACATTGTTTCCAGCAGCTGCGCAGAGTTTTGGCCCGTATAGCCTTACTGTTTCCTGGGTTCTTACTATAGGTAAATATGTCCCGAGAAATTATTCTCACTGATCGGATAATTTTTACGTTATTTACTTTACGCAATTTATTGTGTGTGTATCGGAGAACTCCGCTCTATGAGTTATTCAACGAAGAAGCTGTAATCATAGCTTCGCTTTCCTTTTTTATGTAAGCAGAGTGTCACAATAATTCCACAGGCGCTCAGTTGGACTGGCTTTCCGTTCGTCGTTATTAGCTCAATTTGTCCAATAAGTTCTAGTAATAAGGCAATGGGTTACAAAAAACTCTTTAAGCTACAATACTACTTCAGCATGAAGCTGTACGCGATTCTTCATTTAGACCTTTCCTATAACTGACCTTTGGTAACAATCTAGCCATAATTGACGTGTGGTCGGACACCTGCCGACAGCAAATGGACGAGCTATCTTTTGCAGATATTAGAGTATTTTTTCAAACTCAACATACACGTAATCACACCTCTATAACACAATTCCAGATACAACACGAACGAATCGTTCGGAAAAATAGCAGCAAAGTTGAAAGTATATAGCTCTTGTTTATCAAGATAATTTACACTTAGATGAAGGCGGGAATGGTAGACCTGCGTTCGGGGTAAACGTCGCTTGGCTGTAAAGAAAGGTTCGCTTCCCGTTAAGAAAAATAATAACGTTACGATTGAAACACTTGTTGCCTTTATGTTAGGCAGCCCAAGACAACTGAAAATGCTGTTTTCCCTTTATATATGCGTTAGCTGCAATGTTAAACATTAAAAATTTAGCAAACCGATGTCACCGGCTAACTATTCTTGTTACGATGCACATAAAACATAGAAATCGGATAAGCGAGCGTAAGGTTTGGAGCCTGGCTATACAATTTGATTTAAATCGTTTCTGTAGCCAATCGATCAAAAACTGTTGACTTCTGATAAATCTAAAGTACAATTGAACAACGCACTACTGGGAATACTTTTCTTGAATTCACCTTTATATACATTTTGCTAAATGACAATTAAGACATGGCCTGAACACTCAGATAGGTTAATTTAATTAAACCGGTACCTTACACCCGAAATGGCGCATAAATAATTTATATTAACTCTGGCGCTGATCATTCTCATAAGACTTACATATAGTTTAATTAAACCTACACTGTTCTTCCTAATGCGCAAAGTGCACATATTCTATTTATATCATTCCACGAATGCCTTAACATATCAAAGTCCAATAAGTAATACTCTCGATTCAAATAATGTAAAAAACGCATTTACTTATTAGACAGTTTGTACACAAACAACCTAAAACGTCCAATAACAATATGCACTCTATCAGACGTAGTTTATTTGCCTCGTTGTGATTTCCGTCGACCGCTCTCTCCCTTGTACTCGAACAGTGGAATTTTCAGTACTACTGTCCGTGTCGTGATTCCCGACGGAGATCTGCCCTGAATCACGTGGCAGCCCAACATAAAGGCCACATTGGTTAAGCGTACCGTTGGTGCTTTAATATCATTTTGTAAGAGACTTAGATCAACTCGAAAGTCTTCAAGCAGCAGTTGGAGCAATAAACAATGTGCAACAATCTTGTCCTTGGCTTTTGCCGAAATCGTTCGCAACCCTCTTCCTTTGCCATCCATAATGACCCTGGAGAATACGTTCATAATCTGCGTTTTGTATGGTTCTTCGACACGTGGCATAGGGTCTCGTGACCGCAATTCTTTCACCTTCATCTTATAAATGTATGTAAATATATCATACGCCGCTAGACAGCGTAGCTGCATTTTGCGTAGATTCTCATTATTCGACACCTGACCAAGTCGCTGCAAAACGTACTTTGAATAGGTATCATTGGCGGCCCATTCGATGATTTTGTCCTTGCTGGCCGCCTCAAAAGCCCAGTTACTAGCCGCGTAGTTATCGAAGCATTCCGCATCAATGCGACTAAACACCTCATGGACGCTATACACTCCTTTGGCCGAAGTGTACTCGGCATTTCGCTGAGGGAATTCGACCATTGAATCGTCGATCACTGACACATCTTCGGACTTCTCCTCGACAACGGTCTCATTTAACGTATCCGATGCGGTCGTGACTGCGTTATCTTGCGATACCTGCAATCGCTCGCGAGACTTAATGATATTTTGTAATGCTTTCGTACCAAAGTTCTCCGTGAAATCTTTGTAGCGGTCGGCATAACTGCGATCATTCTTTGGTCGTACAATTGTCTGTTCGATGCTTTTCTTCATTGGAAGTTTGTACGCAGGAATCAAATCAACGTCCCCTACAAGTGATAATATGTAGTGAAAAGTTAGTCGACTCAGTTTTTGCACACTCAAGCTAGTATATAGTCCTATCTGTGGGGCAGAAATAGATACAGGAAGCAGACTGATAGTAAATGTGTTAACAATAAACAAGTTACATTATCTCTTTAGTGTTTTTTTTTTATATATAATTAAGAGCTATGTTAATGTATAATACACAGAACACAGTAGATCACTATATATTGATAGCAACAGTCAATAGTAGATACGCGTCTGATATCGTTCACAATATTCAAACTAATACTCTACATCTGTTCTGTTCCTACCTGTTTCGACGTCTTCTACAGCAAGATACGTCGTCGTACCTAACAGCTCTATCTGTCCAGAGAAGTGAATTTTACCGTTAGTTGCTTTAGCAAACACCTGTAAATGCAAGGCGTAATACAACGAAATGACTTAACCAGAAAATTTGTAGGAGATTTGTTTACTATCCCGGGAATATTTATGCGCTAAAAGAGTAAGTGTTAAACTTAGGTCGACAAGGCAGGCAACATCTTTCGACAGACGTTGCAGCGAGACAGCGTCCGTGACACCTTCGACACTTCAGTGCCACAAAAATATAAGAAACAACCTATATACCATAAAGTTATAATAATTGATTGCCCTAAGGAGCTTTTTATATTCAATGAACCACTGAATGCTTGTGCTCCTTTTACGGAAAGCTTTTCTATAGCCAACATTGTGGATAACATAGTTTTTGCCTCTGATAATTGTTGTCAATTATATTCTAGTTTAGTCAGACACAGCTAATATTTGCGTCTGATCCAATAAAAAAATACACACCTGAGATTTCGTCTTGTGCGTGTATAGTTCGATATGAAGTCCCTCTCTGCTAACAAGTTTCCCACAATCAAATTCTGGCAGTAAAGCACATCTAGTCCCGTGGACCTGCTGAATTCGCCACCTCAGACTGTCCGACTCCGACATTGTGCCCTAACACGTCTGGCTTGCTTAACTTACGTTGTTACCAGATACACACAGCAAAGCAAAATTCAATAGCAACCGTCACCAATGCCTAACCGAATTCGTACACTCTGCTCCAATGTAACAAGGAAAGCAACAGACCGATTTCATGTGTCACGCAACATGCACTCGTGAGCACCGCTAGCAGCTTACGTTGCACTCTCTTTACTGTTCCTACAGCTGCCGCGTGCTGCTGTGCCCCTCCCGCAACACGGATCGGGGCGCTGCTCACATGCACGCTTCTTTGTTTATAAACTCGTTATTTTGCGGTACAGCGCTTACCCCGCTGTATTCGTCGGAGCGCTGCCAATGAAGTCGGACCGTAGAGTTGAGAGAGCGATATCGTGTTCTTGGGCCTGGTTAGTTGCGTACGAACTTGTGCTCAGCCGCCCCCACCACCTTGTATTACTACTATAGTTCTATTATAATTCATACGTAGTTTTTGCTTTAATAATTTCGCGGTTATCACAAGCTAACATTGCCCATTTATGTCTAACCAAAACCTGGAAGCATTGCGTTCTATCTAATAGTCTGGCAGTTGAATTGTTATTATTGAAGTCTCCCTCTTTCTGCGTTCCACGTCTCCTTTGCCGTTTTCTTCCATTTGCTTGCGTGTCCAGTCAGTTATAGCTGAGAAAGATAGATATACGCACACACTAAGACCCACACATGACACTTACATAGGCAGCAGCGGCGGGCTTTCGGCGTGTTGAACAGGGGGCGCTGCGTTCGGCATGACCATCAACCAGCCATCCAGCTAGCGCTCGTAGAAAATGGTGTCGAGCTATGGGCGAGGAGGATGATGGCTGTTGGTGCTACATTCGCAAGAAACGGGCCGCTGGCTGCATTTGCGTTCGTCGTCGTAATGGCCATGGTGTTTTTTTTGTTGGCAGCGTGAAATGATTACGGTCGGTTGTACCGTTTTGCCTGGTTGTTTGCTTAGCCTCTCGTATTGCCGCGTCTTTTCTCGTCTAGACGGAATGAGCAGACGTAGACGACAAATTGTAGTAGAAATAGTATAATCGGTCAGCTAGCTCTGGCCACCTCGCGTACTGTTACTGCTAGTCGGTTAGTCGGTTGGTCCTCCGTCGTCGTCGTCCCGCAGCGGGGTAAGCAAAATAGACGTGAGCAGAGAAAGAGTGGAGCTGTGCAAGCTCCAGGTGCATCTGCTGCGGTAACAGTAGCAGTTGTAGAAGAACTACCTGTCGTAGTTCAGTCAACGGAAGAAGCACTCCGACGTGTATAAGAGACGGTGGTACGCCATCCACGACAACGACGGCAGTAACAAATTGCTTTGCTACTGGACCACGCTTACTGACTTTTATTCTACAGATCTTCTGTCGACTGTCGACTGTGAATGATTGCTGCCAATCAATATCAACGAAACGACTAAAACAGTGAACCGCTACGAGAACTGGTGTATAAATATTTATTTGTGTTTACCGCCTCGCTCGTCGTAGAATCTGCTATATTTCCAGAAAACAACAATAAGCTGATCAACCACCGCTAGATCGTACCACCGCTGCTAACGCCCCGTTGAAACAGGGCTCTGCTATAAAACTGCAGAGTTAGCTAACTAGCTAGATATTTTACTTTTGAATGACATTTAATAAGATAGATGTGTTGTTGAAGTGTTTGCGCGCTGTGTCGGAATAAGGATAAAAAAACAAGCTCGCTCAAGATCATTTGCTCCGCTCTTATACCGTAATCGTCACGCACGCATACACTACTAACGTTGCACAATGTTACGTCTACCTATTGAACCCCTGCAGATCGAACAGTTGAAGCGGTTACAACAACATCAATACCGTGCGACAGGAAAATCTTTCTTAGACCCATACATGCAGCCGTTCTGGGAATGGGTCGTCATACAACTTCCAGAATGGGTTGCCCCCAACCTTATGACTATAACTGGTTTACTCGTCAATGTGCTAACCTGTTTGCTGCTTATCGTCATGGCACCTGACGCAAAGTCAAACGTTCATCCACTGTTCTTTGTGACATGCGCCGTCGGTTTATTCATCTATCAGACACTGGACGCCTGCGACGGTAAACAGGCTCGCCGAACGGGATCAAGCTCGCCTCTAGGTGAACTGTTTGACCACGGCTGTGATGCGCTCTCCACATTGTTTCTGGCGCTCGGGGTGGCTGTCGCCATTCGGATGGGTACGTGCCCGTATATCATGCTAATCCAGTGTCTGGTCGCGATGTTTCTTTTCTATTGTGCTCATTGGCAGACGTACGTAACTGGCACGTTACGATTCGGCTGGTTCGATGTTACTGAAGCGCAATTCTCAGTAATGGGCGTCCTTCTTATCACGGCCATATTCGGCCAGGAAGTTTGGGACAGCAAGATTATCTTCATTGAAGCTCGTTTTATTCCGTTCATAATGTGTCTTTGTGGGGCGGTGGTAGCACTATTCAACTATAGCCGAGTCTGTTTCTCTTCCCAAACTCAGCACGTGTGCGAGGGGTCTGCACTGGCCCCATTAGTGCCTTCTCTGTTGACCATCGTGCCATACATTGTTATGGCGGTCAAATCACCGGCGCTTATCGCGGACCGGCCTTGCCTTGCCCTGACGACGTTTGGTCTCGTCGCTGTCAAGCTGACATTCCGAATTATCGTTGCGCACATGACCCGGTCCGAAGTTCACACTTGGGATACGACCCTGCTAACGCCGTTAACGATCTTCTTCAACCAATACCTCGACTTTCCTTTAAGTGAACGATTCGTCCTTTACGCCGGTCTTACGTACACGACAATTGATCTGTTCCTATATGCAAACGCGGTTTGTTTGCAAATCTGCGAACATCTGAAGATCGAATTGTTTCGGATCACGCCGGCCGTGGCGGCGGATAAAAAGAACCCAACTGATGATCCATCTGGAAAGCCTCTGCTGAAAGCTGGCAGTCCCGGAACCCCATCAACGGGCACGACCCCCGGCGAGGCACCTCCTTGTTATCAAGACGTCATTGTTAATAAGAGCTAGCAAAAATGTTCGGTGCGGTCCGTGAAAACAAAGACTGTCTAAGCTGTAGTAGCGAGGAGTAAGCGAAGGGGAAATTACAGATCGAGCGTATGAAAGGTAGAAGAGTACGATGACAAATGACGAAATTGAAAGTAAAAACAATCTAGCTACTTTCGTCGCCACTTGTATGTATACATGTGTAATATAGTTTTTGTATTTTTAACAACAAACAGGTAAAAGAACGAACGAGGCGACAAAACTATGGAAAAACAAAGAGAGGTCTATGAGTTGAACTATAGTTTTGATGAAGCAGCAACCGAAGCATCGAAATGAAGTAGAAAAATAAAAAAAAATTGGTTAAATAAAATCGACAAAATTGAAAAACCAAGAACGCGAGCAAAGAAGTTACACAAACGTTTAGAACGGTGGATGATACCAAGATATCAGCCGTGCTCTTTATATGCGACAAGAATTGGGCAGGAAGTAAGGAATCGAAAACAGAGACCATTTCGCTGCCATCTTCTTGCCATTACTGTTGCTGCTATGAAAGATATAGGATTGTTAATGATAAATTTTTACTATTATTTCAATATACTTGGATAATGTTAGATCAGATTTACGGCGAGCGACCGTCTATCGACGCGAGCTGCAGCAGTCCACGAAAAATTACTAATTATGGCGTATCGCTTTTGACGTTTAACAACCTTATCGTAAAGTACCGCGGTGCGTCATCCGTCACGCTGAAAATTAAGGGCGGTGTCAGAAAACTGCTAACTACTAATTTGAGTAGGGCCGGAGGAAAGGATATCTACGCGGGTACACTATAATAGGTTCCTCGTTGTCGATGTTAATCTTAAAAAGGACCTACATCCGTAAACCGCTGTCATTTTTTCACCGAACGCCATTCGAGTGCGAACGCTCTGCTTATCTTGTCTCTGCAAAAACTACCTGTTGCCGAATGCAGAACTTGGAATTGGCTTGAGCTGTTATCGTTATTGTATTATGTAGGCAGAACCTTTTTGGTCGGTTGCCGTCAGCTGCGATGTTCAGAAATGAAAATTATAATTATGATGATTTAATTGTACTTAAATGTGCTTATAATTGAACGGTAAACATGCTATTGTATTTCGTTTAAGATTTCCGGTTTGCCAGAGCGTTGATTAGGTCTAAGTGCCTTCTCCTCATTCCTTAGCATCATAATATCCTATAGTTCAATAATGTTTGGTATCAAAACAAGAAGGAGTCACATACAGATGTGCTGCATCTTGACCCTCCGGCACGCAGCCCTCATTCAGCAAGCAGACAGACGAGTAATTTGCGAAAAACAGATCAGTAACTTAGATACATGTTAGCAGATGATCTATACACACAAGTACATATACAAACGACAACATCAATACTCACAAATCTCTTGGAAACATCCCATTAAACAGGTGCCATTCAAGCAGAGATCAGAGCTCTATGGCAGCGTGTTACTGCTTATACCGCTTGACCGAATCATCCTTTGGCCTCGGGATGTTGTCTATCTATTCTAGCTGTTTTACTACTTCAGCTGTTAATGCTGCCAAATTTCGAAAAATTGAGACACGAGTGTTCGGAAAAAATAGAGCTCATCGTTACAGCTAAAAAAATAACCTGATATTGATCTGCGATCATGCAAAACTTTACTTAGTGTTACGCGTGATCACGTTGGACAAATAAGAATAAATATGAGGACGACTGTGTTCGTTAGAGAACACAAACGGTGCTATAGCTAGTCCGGTGATGATTCTAGTACGAGAGAATCTGTTCGATGTCTGGTGACTGTTTGCATGATGAAGTATTAGAGACTCTTAACTCCTGTTGTTTTACTTATCTTACTCTATTCACTGTCCCTGTCGAAGTTATTGTGACACCTTTTCTGGACGTTTCTGGTAACTACCGGCATATATATATATATATATGCATACATAGCTAGCTACTGCATTCGAAAGATACCATGGTTTGTACTCTGCCATTGCTGTGAATCGCATCATCCTCAATTGGTCAACAAGGATATCTGTTTATGAATCTAAAAAGCCAAATAGTAAATAGATAAATAAAGAAAAAAGACAACCAAACAAGCCTGACAGAGGATTATTATGAGCATGTACAGGAAAGCCTCGTTGCGCCATATGCCCATAATGTATATGCTCTTGTGAGTTAAGTCGTAATCCTTATCATCTCAGGGCGGTATCGATGATGGTGATGATTTTTGTCAACTCTTGTGGGTCGCCATTCCGATGTATCAGGTTTGTTTGTTTATCGTGACAACGCTAGCTCGTAACTTATTCTATTAGCAACCATTGATAATGTGCAATGTCCTATACAGATGTCTTCTACAATATTTCAGTTTAATTGCTGACCAGTGCATATACAGAGGTGACCAATGAACAAGAGAAAGTATGTGCCATCGGTTGAACGTGCCGTACGGTTTTGCCCAGATCCCCAGAAGTTTTGTTTTTCGCATTACTGTGACAATGACGACGATCATGGAGGACGAGTGTCTGTGAAATGAACTGCTGCGTAGATGAATGAGACGTTAGGACGGATGGATGGTAAATTATGTTGATATGTCAGAACAAGAGCGTGTGAACCAACCGCGTGAAACAGAGGTGAGGCGGAAAAGACTTATTCCATATATAGGGGTGAGTAAAAAAGAAATTAGATGAACAATATATATGAGTCAGTGTGAGTTTACTCACTATGTCTGTTTGTTCTTATTCCTGCGTGTACCTTGAGTGATTGATCATTATGTTGATTGGTGCCAGCAGCGGGGTGGTGACATGTAAGAAGTCGGGGATTTCGCCCAGTAGGATATTGTTTATGTGGCATTGTATTACTAATATAGCTAATTAATGACTTTATACGACATGAATGTAAAAAAGAAAGACAAACAAATAAAAAATAGCTATGAATCGGATTGTAGTCCTATCTACTGTATTACATTAATAGCAAATTCCATTTTTTTTTTAAATTAACTGTAAAAGTCTACCAAGGCTGTTGATGGATTCGTGCAAGTTTGTCTAAAAAACGTATACTTAGTTTTCTCGGAGTATCGATAGCTTTGTAGCTATATTAAGATGTTATTCGTAGAAGCAATTTTCAGCACATCCGGGTCAAAATGGCTGACAACTTTTTTACGGTTCTCATGGGGCACATGGTTATCATAAGTTTTCGCACAATAGGACTCATCTGAGGTAACGCAGCTCGTTCCACTAGTGTATTATGTAGCTTTCTTATATTTCAAATCTAGCATTTAGTTATCTCTACGTGTTGATGAAGCGGACCGGTTCGGTCACGTCAGCATGTTCACATCATAATTCTATTAATATGTTCGTTTATACGAAGTCCGATTTCTCACATTTGAAAAAATATGTACCGGATTTTTGGTCGTTGTTCTGGTAGTGATAAGCAAAAACCATCAGTAAGATTTATTGGATAAAATCGAACTTTTTATTACCAAGTTTCGTCATCGAATTATCAAATACGAATCACTGCATTCAAATACAAATCTCATTTGTTATTGATACAATAACCGATAGATGCAACTCGAAGACTTCTTTTTCAGGTAAAGTGACATATAGCAAATGCTACTAGTTATGGTTTTTACAAATATTTCAAAGCAAAAGACGCAACAGTTGATAATAATCATTTAATATTTTTTGAACTTGTTTAATAGATTAATCGCAATATCTATTCAGCATGGCATTAATATAGAGTAAACATAGCTTCTACCGTTGAATGCTGTTAATAATAGAACATCACAATTCAAAATTGTATTTTGACCTATTGCGTTTCTCTTTGTTATAATACCCCTTTATCTGTCATGACGTACTTGGACAGGTATCTTCATACAAGACATAGTTTTAAGATGACGACCTGGACGATAATATGGAATTAGAGAAACGTCTACAAATCGGACATAATATTGAATCTTATGTGTGCGTCGCAATGCAGTCGTAAATGAACGAACTCAAGCGAAAAACTCTTTTTTTTCTCTTTTTTTTTCCAATTTCCTCCTTGCGTCTTTGTATACGGCCTGTTGTCCCTAAGAGGCTCAGAAAAGGTCTAATGATTCTATCGGGTAACAGAATCACCACTATGCAGCGTTACCATTTAATGGGGTATATACTAAACGCACAAGGTTGACAGACATCTTTTGCACTTGAATTAGGTTAGGGTAGCAGAATCTGGTAGAACTAACCGTTAGAAGGTGCAAACGCCTCCAATATGCTATACGTAATGGAGATTACTCGTCTATCTCACGTTTTATGACCATTGTGTGCTTGGTTCACTGGATGGCTGCCTTTAACAACGCAGGAAAACTCGTTACCTGTGAGACAGGGAATCTCGTCGTCTACTTTACCAGCGGTCCCCCATTTCATTTAAAGCAAATGTTGTTTCATTATCTCTCAGGCTCTCCTTTTCCATATTCCGCAGAAGAGCGATTGGCACTGTTTCCCGTATTACAGCACCCGTCTTATGCTATATCTGTTGTGCGATCAAGCATTCGCAGTATACATCGGAGATGGTTTCAGCTTTCGAAAAGACGACAGCGAATAACAGGCACGAATAAGCAAGTATACATCTAAGAGAGCTTTATACCCTTCGGCGTTGCAGATAGTCATCTAGCTGGTTTGTCGAAAGTGGAACTTAAGCACACTCTGTTTGCATAGGCATCTACTCCGTAGTTAAAACCTCGTGATGTGGATTCGTTGTACGATATAACAAAGAAACGCTCCTTATTTTAGGGAAACCTTGAAGCTTCCGTCGATCCAGATGTATTTAAATGCGTTTGATACATTTATATAATGTATTTACTGCCATAGATTTTGTCAGCTACTTGATGAAATCGATTTCACGTGTTACATTTATATAGGTTGCGAGCCGTTTGGTTATCTTGATTGAAAAAGGATTGCGCGTGAAGGCCTATGCTTACAGCTCGTTTTCCGTTCGACTGTTTTGATATCGTCATGCAGGTGAAGGGGCTGTGATGATACTTAATCATGATAGTAAGAATAAAAGGGTTTTCGCGTGTCTAGATGTTTGTTTATTATATATTTTTGTGTGTGTTTGTGTGTAAGTCGTGTATGTGAACTAGTCTTTCAGCGTTCTTTCGAGCGATTAGGCATTAATAAGCAATCAGCGCAGACTAAACTGCTGGGTTCCTTGTGGACAGTTCGCAGGTGTGACGGACCTCAATGGCATTAACAGTAAACTCAACGAACGCATTTGACGTTTTGGCTCTGTCACATTGGTATGTAGGGGACAGAGTCCATCGGTGGCGCCATTTTAAGAAGGTTACTCTATCTACCCTGACTAAGTCGGCACGTGTATATATCTGTCTATTTCTATGCATTTGTATCTCTAATGTTCATTCTTGACGGTATTTAGAGCGGACACTCAGTATACACTAGGGAGATGGATATCATCAAGACAACCGAACAGTCCAGTGCTGCCACCGACAGGTCGTTTTGTTAGAAGAGGGATATCCCTTACCCTTACAGCGAGTGTTATCATTACTGAAGTGGAAGGATTTTCGAGCTAGCAAGAGGATCCCGTTCAAAATTAAACTGAAGAGCACGCGGCTTACACAAAACAAGAACCGCAACAACAACAACAGCGTTTAACCCAGCGCTGATAACAGCCAAAATAAGAACGACGTTGACTAGGAAACAAAGGGCATATTTGGCTACTTGTGCCAAAAACCTGGCTGCATGGGCCTACTGACGGGTGTGCCTATCGTTGGATGACGATACGCACATGCCACAGTACATGCTCTCATATACTCATATACGTAAAACTTTTGTCTTAGGGGGAAAGTGCGTTTTCAAGGTTCCTTAATAAAACGAAACTCTTTTTGAGTTTCTTGTCACTTAGTGGACATTATGGATGTATTAATTCACTAGAAATATGGTACTCAAGTTGATACGTATATAATGGCAAGAATGGATTTTCAAGCTATGCTTGCATTCGATTTTCTATATAGACAGTGTCAGCTTTTAGCTTTCATGGGTAGAAAGCCGAGTTAGAATGCAAAAGGTACGCAGATTTTATAACAGAGTGGGCAAAAGTTTTAAAAGCTACTTGACAGCTTGAGAGTCTTCATTTAACTTTTTTCTGACTACATTATATCCTTCCTTATTATATGTTACTTTTAAAATGTCAACGTCCTGTATCTATATATTATCAGATACTCCTCGCACTGGATGAACAGGTCGAAATATGTTCTTCCCTATTTTATTTAGAAGAAAGACAGTCTTGCTGTATTGGGCTAAAAAGACTCTAACATGGTCAACAGACATGGTTGGAGACAGATACGCAGACACTTGGAGGCGATAGTGTTTATATGGCATACCTACGCTCCGGGGGGAAATTAGTAAGCCAATGCTGTCTTAATGATTTCTTTCGTTTTAGCATACACATCGCGGATGATTTCGCATTTGACTGGTTTACCCTTTCGTGAAGTCTCAGTATTTTTCGAAGCATTTCTTTTGCATAAGTTATTCATACAATACATAATAGTTACCAGAGAATAGTTATTATTTGTCTTCATGAAAATGGGTTATTGATAAAGTTGGCATAGATGTGCATGCGACAGACAACGCTCATTCGTCAATCAATGTCGTCATACTAATGAGCGTGTGAGTGTGTCTGTGTTTATAAGATTTTTTTACATTCCACCTGTCCACAGACATGGCTTGATCATAGAGCCTGGTCCGTATTATCACATAGCCAGCTGCTGCTGCTGCAAGATAATTAGTGCAAGTAGGAAATAGAGAGACAAGATACCTGCACCATCAATCAAATAGCCAGCGAAAATACTTTGTTTAACTATTAATATGATAATTACTTGAAGATACGGCATCAATGCCTGTACCACTATAACATTTAGAAAAGTAAAAAATCATTCATCTATTGTAAACTTAAAATTCAATATTGGAAGGTCTTTGCATCTACTTGACGAATCTCTGGTGACCTGAACCATTTTCAATCATTATATTAGTGAGTATTATTTATTTAAAAAGCATCGTGTGACGATTTTGTATCGTGATTCATTTTTTCAGCAGCAGATGGTTTTCTCGTCAGGTCAAATAATACACACTTGTCTATCAGCGATGTAGTTCGTTCAACTTATTATGTGAAACATATTACACTTTACCAGCAGATCATAATCACTGGTAATTTTTGTAAAATGATGTAGAATATTACCGTCAACATTATGCCTGATTTATGTTTCTCGAGATATCATGGAACACTTATTTGGGTTAACAAAAAGGTGCGTTGGTCGTGGCTCACCATAACAGGACGGAACTTGATAGTATTTAATCATAGTATAAAATTTTTCTCTGTAAGACACGAACTGTTATTTAAATACACCGGAGAATAAGAATTTCTTTAATGCTATTTTTGAATGGCTTTTTTTTTAATTAGCCTCATTTTATGCTTTCTCGAAAGTTGGTCATCAGCTTTCTACCAGATCTGTCTCCTAAACCGCATTAACGACTAATTTTTGTCACGAATTCCTTGCCGTAAGCAATTTTTCCTCTGTTATTTATTAGCAGAATGGTATCTTCCTAAATGACACGACAAAAACTGTATTTTGTCTACCCTCTCAATGCCATTTGTTCGTGCAAATGGGATTGAGAGGCTACTTGTCGTTTCCTTGTTTGTTACAAACGACGGACAATTATTTGTCGTTGACAAAGACATTCTGGGTGGTCAGATTATAGCGCACTATCATTGGGGCAGCGGCAGTAGCAATTAAGCAGAGTTGTTTTTGATTGAACAGTTCGCCGTGACCATTTTTGCTGCTGATTCGAGAACGGCCGCATCGACATTGTGAGTTAAACAGCCCTTTACTAGCTGGACTTCTACCAACATCAGCATCACTGAAGCCGGCACCGGCGACGATCGCGAATGAC